AAAAAGAAGGTGAAATTGATTACAATCAATTCATATACAATAATAATTTATAATAGAGAAGATGAATCGAGAGAGATGGTGAAAGAAAGGAAGAATAAAAATGAAAACGTTAGAAAGTTGTTATACTTTCCAACCAAACTAATAATAATATCTTCAAATGATTCGCGCTCGATTTAATTTGAATGTCATGTGGTGGTCAATAACATCATAATGACCACATATATATATAAGATTGAGGAGATGACCATATATAATGGTAAGAGGAAAAATAATAGTATTATAACGTGTTTGCTATGATGATAGACCGGTTTCTTCATCTTTCGATCATTTCATCCTTACCTATTTATGTGGATGTATATCGGTGTGTACGAATGAATGTTAAACTATTTTTGCTAGCATTTAAGAAAAGATAATTTCACTGATATATATATATATATGTATATATATATTTGTACGTGTAGTTAAACTTGTTATTGATTATCAATGAAAACGTCACCTATAATATTATAGTTTTTCAACGATCGTTATAACGCAAGAAACACTTGAATGAAACGATGTGATCGGAATTGAAAACATTAAATCTCTCTCAGTACAAACATCTGGAATGTATGGAATGTCCTGATGATATGTATAGTTATTGTGAAATAAATGAAATTGATCATTTCAATAGGTCCGATCATGAGAAATATAAAATTTAGAAATGTAGACGATGAAAAATAATGGAAATGAAAAGGGAAAAGAAGAGAGAAAAAAAAAGTGAAATTAGGATATATTATGAAATTTTTTAATTATACTAAATCTTTTACTTCAAATAATTTTGTTGAATTATGAAAAATGATACACTCTATTAAAATATGCCATTGTGAATGGATGGAGTAAAGAAAGAAATAATTGGAATGATGTGACCGGATGATGAATAATATGGATGTATGTGTATCACTAAATCGGATAATGAATAATGTGAATGTGTCCACAATAAAACCGGATGAGAGGTAGCGATATGGAATTTTGAAAAAGATGAGAAATGATTGTAGTAATGCAAATTTGATTCTAAAATCTTATCAGTCCTATCATCCTCTTAGATTTCCCGATCCGTTTTATTATGTCAAGGATGTTTGTTTCGGTGCTATTTCAGCAAATAATAGAAAAAACTTTTTAAAACTTAGTTTTTTATTCCTCGTAGAATCATAATATTTGCCATTTTCATCAAACTTTGAAAGTGCAATACATTTTATTGTCAACCATTAAGCTTCAAATTTAATATGAAACTACTGGAAAAGATTTAATCAACGAAACACATACACATATTGTTTATCATTTATATATGAATATAAAGATAGTGAAGAATATTATGAACTGCAGACAAAAAATCCAATAATGAATTAATTTATAAATAAAAATGAAATGGATCAAAATGAATCAATTTCTCGATCTCCAAAAATTGGATTATCTCCTAGTTTATGTTAAACAAATTAATAATTTCGCCACTTTTTTCCATTTTATATTTTATTTTTAAAATTTTTCACTTGTTTTATTTGGTTTTTACAGTATGATTGATTTTTTTTCCAAATGTTCATTGGTTTCAAATTATTTTATGGAAGGGTATTGTTAAATTCTGAGTTTTTTTTTAAAATGATAAAACAATTTCACAATTACGTACAAATTGGGAAGCATGATCAAAATTTTTCATCCTTAGCTCTTTATTTAATTACAAACTTTAATTAAACTACAATATTACATTTCAAAGTAGCATTTGTATATGTGCCTGAATATGTGTGTGTGTGTTATAATTTTTTTATTTTTCGTTTTTTGGGACCACTAATTAATAGTTTTTTCGGTTGAACACTATTGGATTGATCAATAATAAAATCATTTCGAGCTTTGAATGAAATTTCTAAAATTTGAGATATAAAATAGTCAATTCAAAAAAAGATATGAAATGAAAAATCAAAAAAAAAAAAATTTTGATGGTTTTATTTGTTACAGCTATGTAACTTAATTTAAATTATATGTAGGATACTAAATTACTATTATTATAGATGGAAAATTTTTTCCAATCCGAATTTTCTGTCTAATATT